CCTGCCCGTCCTCCTGCCTGCCTGTCCTCCTGCCTGCCCGTCCTCCTGCCTGTCCTGCCTGTCTGCTTGTCCTCCTGCCCGTCCTCCTGCCTGCCTGTCCTCCTGCCTGCCTGCCTCTCCTGCCTGCCTGTCCTCCTGCCCCCCTGCCTATCCTCCTTGCCTACCGTCCCTCCTGCCTGCCCCTCCTTGCCCGCCCTTCTGCCCTCCTTCTCGCCTTCCTGCCCTGCTGCCTGCCCTCCTGCCTGCCATCCCTTCTGCCTTCCTGCCCTCCTGCCCCCTGGCAGGGCTGCAGTGGTGCCCCTGCTCCCCCAGCCGCTCGCCAGCCCCAGGGCTGGTCCCCAGCTTCATGCACAAAGCAAAACCCACCCCGTGAAACCCTTCAGGTCGAGGCGGTGGTGGTGCTGAGGCTGATGTGGTTTTGCTCGCAGCCCGACCTGTCTCTTTTCTGGCCGAGATCCACTTTTGGAGGCTGTAGTGTAAGCGAAGAATATACGTACCCTGGTCTACACGGGCATGTGCAGATGTCGATGTGTGTGTAAGCGTCTCTTTGCTCTAATCAGCTCTAATCAGAGCACAGGGTGTTCGCTGAATGGCAGGTGGAGGGACAAGACTGGCTACTGAGAGCACACACTGGCAGCTATGCCGTTCTTCCCTCAAAAGCCTTAGTGCTATTGCTTGCTTAAGTAATGATTTTTCTTGGAAAGTTTCCATTTCCTCTTTTAGATTTTTTTTTTTCTTATTTTTGGGACGGTGTTCAGAAGTAGAAGTGGCCTGGAGAGTAAGGAGTACAGCGAATACAGGGATTGTAAGATATATTCCGTCTTTTTCAGGCCTCCATCCTTAGACAGAAGGATGAGAATACAAGTACTTAGAATAATTCAGCGGTCTGTAAATAAAAGATGTTTTCTTTTTAGGGGTGGCCCATTACCTGAAGAGATACCAAAGGGCAGGTTATTTTACACATTGTAATGGTTAAGGTAGAATAATGAAAGCAGGGAGTCCGGTTGCATCTCGGGCAGACATCTGCTGTCTATTTTAAAGACAGAAACTTAAACTGAGGTGATATTTCTTGCTTCTCTCAGCTCCTTCCCCAGAATGGGCGCGGTGCTGGCAGCAGCGGCGGCGGGGGCACATCCTGCTTCACGCTGCCCTGCGCTGTGCCCAGCACCACGGACCCATGCCAAGGGGTGGGAGGCTGCCTTCTTCTTCACACCCAGTCAGTCCCCATCTCCTTTGTTAATACAGCTGGGTGTTGGCTTTTATTTGGACTTAAGTGCTATAAAAGACTGAACCCATCACTCCATTTCGCACCAAACGGCCCATTTGGGGCAATTCCCAACATTCCGTTGCTATTCTCACACACTTGGTGCTTTTTTTCTGAAATGTTCAGCTAAACTTGTTTAAGAAAATGTTTATTTCTAGCCAGTTTTCCCTCTTTTAGTAAACTGTTAACATTATTTTCGTTTTAAAAGCTGTAAGAGAATGTGAACATTTAAGGTGTCACCTATGAACTGTATCACACAATGATGTACAGTAAGGGAATGAATACTAAACCCAGCACAAATATTACCTGTGCTGTGCCTTAGGTAGAGTTCTGGCTGTCACCTGCCTTTGCTTCCATAGTGGTGGTGGGAGAAGATGAGCTGGAAGAAGCTCAGAAAAAAGGCCGAAGGGCTGGCTGGGGCGATTGTAACTGGAGGGTGGAGAAAATGGCTCTTCACCGGGCCTGGTGGGATAGTGTTCAGAGCTCAGGGTGTCGGGGTGCTGGAATGATAGTGGATGTGGAGACCTGCACAGAGACAGGCTTAGATGATAATGGAAATCTGAGAAGGGCTGATATGACAATATGATAAGAGGTTATTATGGAATGCCACGATTGCTGCAGTCCAGCCACCACTGCTCCTTTCCCCTCTTCCTCTTCTTTGTAGGGCAAGGCACTCAGCTTCTCTGGAGAGGGCAGATGCAGCTCAGCCAGCCTGATAAGGTGCAGGGAAGCCAAGGAACAGCAAAAGCCCTGCCGAAACCTCTGTGGCTGGCTAGGGGAGAGCCAGCCTTGCCCCGGGGCTGCTGTGCTCCCCTTTCCCATGGAGATGGGAGGGAAGGGAGGCCGAGAGAGGAGAGGACGGCTGGGCCCCAGTGCAAAGTCACTAAAGGTATGTTGTTTTTAAGGTAATGAATTAATTTGGCAAGAGATTAATCCCCTTGCGTTCTGGCTGGTCCTCAGAGATTAGAGGGGCTTGGGGGGGGCTGGATTTATCTCATCTCTATGCCAATAATTGCCATGACTGGTCTGACACCAGATGCATGAACAGCCCACGAGCTGTAGGTCTGGCTGCATTCAGGAGAAGCAGTCAGGTTCACAAATAGTACAGTTTATTCTTATGCGAGGTCTAAAGATTCTTTGAGATTGGCTACAATAAATGTCCAAGCTGCATGTTGGCTCTGTAGCACTACACACAAAAAACTCTGACTGCAATCACACTTAATTCCTGGGTAATCACTCCCAAATCTTACCAAAAGGTGTCCCTTTGGGGGGGGGGTGAGGAGAACAAACCCATCCATTTGTCCCTCTGGTGTCGGATTGTCGTCCCTCCGAGTTGGATGCAAACTCGGGGTAGGATTTATGGAAGTGTGTACGTGTGGGTGGGCAGGACTGTGGTCAGGCCGTTGTTTCTCGAGTAGCGACACAGCGCGTTCCTCGGTGCGAGCTGGGCGCTGGCTTTGTGGGAAAAGAGGAAGAATGAGAGGTAACGTCTACAGAGCTCTGCAAAACAGCCCTTGAGAGAAGGGGAAGAGCAGGAGATAAATCTGTAGAGTCGTGTCAAATATTCCTTGAGAAAAGTGGAAGAAGGGGATGGGGCAGCCTCCACCTCGCTTCACATTCCTGCTTGGTGCCACGGCAACACAATACTGGATCTCCATCCCATCCTGCATTTGTTCTGGGCAGCATGTGTTAAGTAAATGTGTGGTTTGCAATTTTTTTTTTTTCTGTTTTGCTTTTGCCACAGTTCCAACAAGGTGTTTTCCTACCTCTGCAGACCTCCCCTCTGCTTGGGAGCTGGTGCTCTACTGAGTGGAACACCTGGGTGCAGAAGAACTTAAAAAAAAAAAAAAAGTACATTTGTGGGTATTCACACTCAAGTACACTATATCTATAGTTAACCCCCTTGCCCCCAAACTAGTGAGGCCAAGGGGACTGTGCCCATCTAACTGGGACCGCACACCACTGTGTCACAATGCAGGGACGGGTGGGCCGGGGCTAAACCTGGGCTGTGCTACCCCCACGCACAGCTTCTGCCTTAAGCCCTAGTCAGGCCCTTCTGAGGAACCTGCAGCTACGTATTTTATTAAACATATTTAATATCTGGACAGTTATTTATGTGAATATTTATATAATGTATTATTTATATTTAATATTCGCACAGTTTCAAATCATCTACTTATGTCAAGCATTGAATGTCTAGAGTAAGTCATAAAGCAAAAGCAAAACTGATAGAAAACTATATAAAATATTTGCCAAGGCCCTTAAGTTGCTTGGGTCACGGTAACACAAACATCAGATTCATATATTCAAATGTAGCTATGTACAACCAACCATACAGTTTCAGGTACATTAATTTAGTTACCAGCTGCAGGAGGACTTATGTCCACATTAGAGGCAAAATAAAGAATTTACCTGCATAAATAACACATGAAAATATGCTTTTATTTGAATAATGTTTTCAGTCATAAAATTCCACATGGTAGACCTGTATGTTGATTGATAAGTAAATGAAAACTTTCCCAGGGTGGCGATATACTGCAAATTCACACTTTCACAATAATAAATGAAAAAACACTTCAGAGAGGAGCGAAAATACACAGAAGTGGAAAGATGTAAATTGAAGTTAAAGGTGCTGATCCAATGCAGCTGATTTTAAAATTTGTCCGAGACTAATTCCAAATGACATTATGGCAAGCACTGGTTAGGCTGTAAGTCCTGTGGACATCACGCACTTTATAAACACTGCCAGTCCTTCCTTAAAAGCATCTGAGACTACTCACGGGTCTAACTTTAATCATCTGCGTGCATGTTGCAGATTAGGAACTCAAATTTGTAAACCAAATTGTACCAGCAATAGTTTGTTCTTCCCACAAAATAATTACACATGCTTTCATGCTATTTATCTGTTTTTTTGGCAGGACCAAGCAGGTTTCAGGTAGCTGAAAGGAAGGTCTATTATTATTAGGTTACTACACCTAGCAAAAGGTGGTGTTGGGTTGGGATTGTTTTCCCACAGTCTTGACCTCGTTGTGAGTTCCCACGAGATAGGAGTGTTATTTTTTTGTTAAATTAAATCTTGGTGGCACTTAGCAAAGGCAGCCAAGAGAAACGCCGCGAATTCAGGGCAGAGCTTTCAATGACGCTGGGCCTCGTGCGTGAGTGGAGAACAGGCTTGTTCAGAAGTTGGCATGCACAGATTTCTCTATTTATAGACAATTAACCACCCTAGATAACTGTTGGGCTTCGTTACTGATTTGACTGTCAAATAGGAAAATAGTAAGTCTGAAATCTCAAATTATGTTTCCTTCTCCTTGTCACTTGATTTTTTTTTTTTTCTTAACCTGAGTTGCCTGGGAGCTTTTGGTCTGGATAAAGGCTGTTTCCCACATGTGACTCTGCTTGGGGCCCTGCCATGGAGAAGGGGCTGCAGTTTTGGGGGGGATGAGCCCCATGTCTGCCAGCCCACTGCGCAAGCCACAGGAGAACAGCGTGGCCCTGCCAGGGGGGGCTTTATCGAGCAGCCAGAGATGCAGACCCAGCACTGTGGGGCTTGGCAGGTTTGCCTTAGGACAGAAACCAGAATATCTGTAATTAAAAAAATAATTAGCAGTGTTCTGCCCCTCCACCCCCTCCCAAGTGCCCCGTGGTCTGAGGTGAGGGCCTGATCCCCTGCTGACCCTGGGGCCTGCAAGCTGGACGGTGGGGGGGAGAGGCCTCAGGCTTCACACCCGCATCCCCGCCGCCCTCACACCCGCCATCCCTTCCACCGTCACACCACCATCCCCTCTGTCCCCGCCATCCCCTCGGCCCTCACACCCGCCATCCCCTCGGCCCTCACACCCGCCATC